TCTGCCGTCCTCTTCTCCTTTGGCCTTCAATCTTTCCCAGCATCAGGGTCTTCTCCAAAGGACTACAAATTAACCTTCCTTCACACCGAATGACAATTCCAATCCTGACCTTCTCTCAAAATCAGCTGTGGCTGATGGAGTCTAAAGTCAAAAATGGTTGAAAAGCAGTTACCTAACCCTGGTGTAGTTGATTAGGTAGATGTCATTGGATTGACCCAACTGCTGGGGATTTTGTGGCAAAACTCCACCATCTCAATCTGTTATGATTGGCAGATCTTCCAAGGACATTCCAGTGACACCTCTGATCCCATCTCTCCAAATTATTCATTGTCCTTCCCTTTTTCTATTTTCCTCAATCTTGCCGAGCACGTGCTGTTTTGGAGACCACCTCTTCCTAAAATTCACTAGCCAGGAATCCTTCTCCATGTGTCAGCAGAGAAAGGCTCACTGGCATCGTGGCAAGTCCTCCTGCTGTTTGTCTTCTGCTCTCCTGAACAACACGACCCTTTGTAAGGGAGAATTGCATCGTACACCTTACGATACCTAATACGAGAGTCTTGCTAGGGCCTTGGCTTTGTGTGAGTGGTTTGTGCCTCCTGTTATCTTTTAAAATAAGCATTCCTTCTGTCTGGTTTGGTATTCTGGGAATTGCAGGAAGGGCCATTTTCTATTGTCCGAAAGCTGATTTGATAAGGTTAAAAAATAAATAATAATGCATATTCCTGGGTGCAAGAGCGAAATGGAATTGCAGAGTTTAATCTGGAAGAAAGCTGTGAGCTAGGTAATAAGCAGTCAGAGAAACACTTTTGGAACTTTCTCTTTAAAAGTACCCATAAATTGGGTCTTTTTTATTTGTAAGTGGAACAGGCCCAACTCAGGACAAAATTTAGAGCTACTACCTCAGTCACATTTATTCCCAGTGGTGTCATTTTGAATCTGTGCCCTGTATGCACTAACATAATCTGGAAATGAATTCTAAGCCTTAGTTACTTACTTGCCAGAAAAAAATCCTTTTCTTTCCGATCCTCTTCCCTAATTTTCTTTGGAGTTTGATGATGAACCAAGAGTTTTAAGCAGAATAAAAAAGGAAACCCATTCAGAAAGTTTAACCAAGAAGTAGATTCGAAATTGTTTCTCTTTCACCATTCCATCTAGGCCATTTCAGGATTATTCTCAGTGCTATAAATTGAAATAATGTTATAAATAATATTAAAGTGCAGCTATGCCATGCCTTCAGAAATTATGGGCCTACAAGTTCTCACATTCCAAATACTGTCAACAGAAGAAGACAACCTGAGACTCCTTTGGTGGGTTCCTGAAGGACTTCCAAAAGTTTCTCTTAAATTGTAATGTTACTGTGATAGAATGGAAGAAGGTTAAATACACTGGAGAATAATCTTATTAGCCATATTTATTTCTCATTAAATTCACTCTGTTGAGTTTCTATCTTGACCTCACCTGTTAGGTTTTGGAGTATGGTCCCCAGCAAGACATTCAAAAACCCAAATGCAGTTCTTGAATCAAAGAAAAGTTAGGGAATTTTTGACAAGCATTCAGACATACTAATTTAAAGTCTTTCATTGCTCTCCAAACCGAGAACAGTTCTGAACTCCAAATACATGTGTGGGGAACACTGTGGAATACGAAGGATAAAGGAATGAAGAACAGGGAACAGATACAGAGCAGGGCCTTTTAACGTTTTGTCTGGACCCCCAAAAATATTGTCGGTTGAACTCTGCACGCTTATCTTTCAACAAGAGGAGCAGTGGCCAAGTTTTCAGATGATGCCGCGCTCTACAGAAGCTCTGTTACATCTTTAAGACATCACATTTATACAAAAATAAGGCGGATGAAAGGTTTCAGTGTGCTTGTAAATTCTTGGCTGAGCCAACAAAGCTATTTCCAAAGCAAAATAAAAAAGGCGCATTGCCTTAGCTGGTCAGAATTTGGCTTCCCCAAAATTTTGGGGCATCGATTGGCTTTTGCAAATCCCTTGTGGTCCCAGTTACTTAATCCTGTGACCAAATCCACTTCTGATCTCTTGTTGCAATTTACCCTGAATCAACAAATTTGAGTTGGTGGTCTGGCAGATGTTTTGACAATCTGCTGCACTTATTGCAAGAAGGAACCCAGCTGTGCTGTCCGCCACCCCATCAAGTTATAAGTTACGACTTCCAACATGCCATCTGCATTAAGGCTTTCCCTCTCCTTGTGATAGAAGCCCCCTTCTCCCCCTCTCCCACACATTTTGCTTCCACCTGCTTGAGATACTTTTATGAGTTAATTATATCTTCCTTCCTTCCAGTGGGGAAAAGACATGGATTCTTCTTTTGTCCTCTGCTTCCATCACACATAGTTCCCGATCTGTACAGTTTGGTTCCTCCCCACATCATCTGAATTATGGTCATGGAGCCAGACATGTCATGCAGCAAATAAAAAAAAGTATTGGGTTGACCATGACGTTTGCAAGGTATGGTAAAAAGAACTCAAGAGAGCTGACGGTGCCATCAGAGCTCCACCCGGTGACCATAAAGATGGAGGCAGCTTCGGTTGTACTGTCACAGCCACCCATTTGATTTTTTTGACCATACCTTGTATATGCCCCTGCAACAAGGAAGGGCTTGTGAAGTCACAGATACATTGGACTTGAAATAACAGGAGATCCTGCAATTCCTTAAGAAGCAGAACGGTTTAATTGAAAACTCCTGGTTCGTCCCAGGATTAGCATTA